AGAGAGAGAGAGAGAGCGAGAGATAGAGAGAGAAGAGAGAAAGAGGAAGAGAGAAAGAGAAAGAGAGAGGAAGAGAAAAAGAGAAAGAGAAAGAAAGAGAAAGAGAGAGAAAGAGAAAGAGAGAGAAAGAAAGAAAGGAAAGAAAGAAAGAAAGAAAGAAAGAAAGAAAAAGAAAGAGCAATCATTTTTCGCCCGGACGGCAACAGACCACCGGAAGAGAGGTGCCATGCTGTGCCACTTTCTCTCGCACAAACGGGAAAAAAAAATCTTAAAAACACATTCGCGAAAATATGTCTGTCAGTCAAATTCCCTCGCTGTTTTTTCATCTATTTTCTGTCTATTTTTCTTTTGCAGTTGTTTCGTATGTTTTCTGTTATTCTTTCTCTCCGTCTGTTGTTTCGCATCTCTCTCACTTTCTCTTCCATTTCTTTATTTTCTCTTTCTATTTTCTATTCTGTCTCTTCATACCTATGAGTCAATCTATCTCTCTATCTCTTTGTCTATTTGCTTGATAATGAGGTCGATAAATAGGTATACATATCCACAGCGTACACAAAGCACACACACACACACACACACACACACACACACACACACACACACACACACACACACACACACACACACACACACACACACACACACACACACACACACACACACACACACACACACACACACACACCACACACACACACACACTCACACACACACACACACACACACACACACACCCACACACACACACACACACACACACACACACACACACACACACACTCACACACAACACACACACATTTCTCTTCCTTCCGTTTTTTTTTCTTCATTTAGTCACCAGTAATGAACGAAATGTCACGACCCTTTCTTTCCTTCTTTCTTTCCTCCTCTTCCCCTCATTATCACACCTCTCCCCTCTTCCCCTCTGCTTCCCCTTCCCGGCAATCACAAGAAAGAATTTCTTGTTAGTGGAATTGAGGAAAAAAATGTCGTCTTTTTTTTTTTGGATTCCCCTTATTACGTGTTGCTTATTTATTCTATGTCTGTATTCGTTATGTTTGTGCTTTGGTTTTCTCTCTGTCTCTTTTCTCTTTCTTTCTCTACTTTTTTTTTCTTTATCGTTTCTACGTCTCTGTTCCTTTTTTTCTGTCCTTCCTTTTTCCTCCCTCCTACTCTTTCTCCTCTCCTTTTCTTCTCTTTCGCCCTCTTTTCTCCTTTCTGTTATAACCCTCTTTTCTCTCCTCTTTATCTCTCTCTCCCACTCTTTCATCCATTTTTCTCTTCCCTATCTTTATGCGCCTCCACTTTCCTTCGTTTTCTACTTTCTTCTTATCTTCAGTTCTTTCACCTACTTTCTTTTCATTCCTCTTCTACCTCCCTTTCTTTCCCCTCTCCCTCTCTTTCAATTTCCTTCTGTCTTACTCTCCCTTTATTAGCCTTATTTGTTTCTACCTGTTCCTGCATTTCCTTTCCCTCCCACCTACTCTTTCATATTCCTTCTCTGTTCCTCTCTATCTGTCCCTCCTTTTCCCTATGTCCCACCTACTCTTTCACCCTTCTCCTCTATCCCCCCTTACCTGTCCTAACCTTTTCCCTCCCTCCTTTCCTTTCCTCATCTTCTTCTCTATTCCTTTTCTATTTTCATCCCTTCCCCACCACCCCACCCACCCACTCCATCACCCTCCTTCCCTATTCTCCTTTACCTACCTTTCTTCATCCCTCCTTCTCACCTTTCTCTCCTACCCTTTCGCCCTCTCTTCCTCTATCCTTATCTTCCTCCTCTGTCCTTATCTTCCTTCCTTCCTTCCTTCCTTCCTTCCCACACTCCACCCACCTCCTTCGTGGAAAACTAAACATTACTCCATTTCTCTCGGAAGCCAGATGTAAGCAGTTAGTGAAGGTAAGAATAATTATTTGGTAAATAGGATAATTTTTCCCTTCTGCTTTCTTAGCTTTCGTTTGCCAGTTTCTTACGGTTTTCTTGGACCCCTTTTCTTCGAAGTTATTTTTCTATTCTGTTTTCTTTATCATCGTTATTTTGATTATCATAGTTATTGTTGTATCGTTATTTTAGTTGGTTTTATTACTATCACTATTATTATTATTATATTACATTTATAATCATCATCATCGTCATTTTTATATCGTTATCATTGTCATTATTATCATGTAATCATTAATTACTAGCATAAAATCATTAATAATTAGTCATAATTTATATTATCATTATCATCATTAACATATATCATTATCATCTTTACTAAAAATCCTCATCATTACAAAATATTATCAGCATCACTTCCATCATTATCAGTATAATCTATCACCTTCTTTTCCCTTCTTCGTCTTCTTTTTCTTCTTCTCCACCTTCCTAATTCTTTTTCACACCTACTCTACCTCCATCGTGTTGACATCTGAATCCCATCAATATTTAACTTTCACTGTCTCTTCTTCGAATACTTTAAATGGAAGGCGTAAACAGGCGAGCAGTCATACAGTC